CTCCACCCCCTCTGCAGGGGGACCCTGCCCCCCCAGGCTACTCCTGCCAGGCAGCCCTGGGGCAATGGTGCAGGGAGGGTGGCTGGCTCTTGCTCTGGGCTGCCCTTCCCCCCACAAAGCCACTGGCTTCCCATGGGAGCATCCTGTGCCCGCTGCAGGGGTGCACAGCGCAGTCCAGAGCCAATCCAGAGAGCAGGGCAGCGATGCCCAGCCAAGGTCAGCCCTCTTCCATCACCCCCCCCCCAGCCCTGTCCGAAGGCTGCACCACATTGCCCACACAGACCCCCCCATCCACGTCCATGCCAGGGGCCAGAGCTGGCTCTGCAGCAGCCCAGCACACAAAGGGTCAAAGCGACTGCGCAGAGCCAAGGTCACTCAGGCAGCCGCAAGCGTCAAGGTCAGCCAGGAGGGGACACCTCCTCCCGCTGCGGTGACCTTCCCCTTCCCAGCGTGCGGGGCCCCTGCCAACCCCGGAGGGACGTGGCAGAGCACGCAGAGGCCTGTACAGAGGTAGTGCAGCCGCCCCCCCCCCCCCCCCGGGGGGGGGGGGGGCTGCAGAGGCCCCCGGCACGGGGAGGCGCGAGCAGGGTGCAAGCAGCCCCCAGGCCCTTCACAGAACATAAAATAAAATTAAAAGGGATCTGAAAGTCCACCACCAAGGAGAGGAGGGACCGGAGCCCACACGGCAGCAGGGAGGCGAAAGGCAAATCCCAGCCCTGCATTGTGCAGCGGACCCCCCAACGCCCCCCCAAGCCCAGACGCACACAAAGGCCGGCCCAGCTCCTGCCTTGCATCACTAGCCAGGGGAGGAGAAAGCAGAAGCACCCTCCCCTCCCAGGCTGATTAGCAACCTCTTGTTTGGGAGCGCCTCGCAGTCACCAAGGAGCTTCCCAGGCAGCTGCCCCCCCCCAGGAAGCTGGGCCCCTCCTGCCCCCGGGCAGCCCGGCCCCCCCGCCCTGGCGGGGAGCTGCGCGGGGAGCTCAGACAAAGCTGTGTCATTGTATAATCCACCTGCACACACCCCGGCTGGCAGAGCCGGCCTCCGCGCACACAGGGGCATTGTTCCTGCCTGCCGGGGAGGCAAAGGTTAAGGCCCGAGGCTGGCATTTGTTTTTATATGCGGATGGGAGGGGTGGGGGGGCGGAAAACCAGTCCCAAAATACACACAGCAAAGACGGCGACAGCCCGGATGGCTCCCTACCGCCGCCCCCCCGGCTCAGCACAAGGGGCAGGACTGAGCAGACCAGAAACTCGGGCATCCGAGGTTTGCAAAGCGCCCGCTCGGCCTCCCAAACTCCCCCCACCCCCCGGACCTTTTGTCTCCTCTGGGGCAAGGGACCGTCTCTCCCCGTGTGTCCACACCCCCCCGGCCAGTCTAAACCTGGGGCCTCCATCCAAGGAGGCGTCCGGCCCATTTGCGACGTACGTAATACGGCTCCTGGCTTCTCTGGGCTGGGGCCCCACCGCTCGAGCGGCCCCGAGGAGGACGCCCCCCCGCCCCCCCCGCGGGGAAACCGTGGGCCACATCGGTGCTTTGCTGCTGCTGCTCCTCACCTGAGTTTCAGTTAAGCTTTCCAGAGCCTGCATCACTGACTGTTCTGGTCTGGACGCCTGAGACTGAAAGAGAGAGAAGAAAAGGGGGCGTGTGTGTGGCGGGGCGGGGGGCGGCCAGGATTGTGTGTCACTCTCACTATTTATACACCCGGCTACAGAGACGCCAACGAAATATTAACCAGGCTGCCATTCCCAGGGCCCCCGCTCCGCTCCCGGGGACCTGCCGCGCCGGGCAGACGGCCCCCCGGCCCCTCGGAGGGGACTGCAGGCCTGCTGGGCGAGGTGGGGGGGGGACAAAGAAGGCTGTTTACCATCAAGCCCGCTTCCACCGTGGGCACCAGGGTCAGCTTGCTTCCTTCCACCACTCCCAGATCCTGCAGCTTCCCAGAATTCAGCCGGCTGCAAAAATAATGCAGGAGAGGACAGAGCTGCCATCAGTCAGCCACGGGCATCGAGGAGGGGGGGCTGGGCATTCCCAGGGAGCCCCCCCATTGGGAAATGCAGCCCCCAGCCCAGGGAGGGGGGAACAACCCGTTTCTTAATGGAAAGTGTCCAGCCCTGAGCCCTCCAGGGCAGATCCAGCCCCCCCCCCCCTGGGGTTATTCTGGGACCCGGAGACGGCAGGGGCAGGAGGCTGCTGCAGTCATCCGTCAAGCAGCCATTGCCGGCGCCCGCCCGGGAGCGCGGCGCTGGCTTTTGTGTCTAACAAAACGCTCCCCGAAGGAGCCAGGCAGCAGCGCGGCCCCAGCACCCGGCTGGGGGGCAGTCCCACCGGTTTGGGGAGCGAGGGAGAGGGGTGAATCTGCCCCCCCAGGCGCACAGGCAGATCCTTTCTCTCGCAGCCCGCTGCCCCATGCTGGTACTGCTTTAAAGGTGTGTGTGTGGGGGGGGGGGACTCAGCCTTGCGAGCCCCCCTCCGCTCCCCACCCCCGCAGCCAACCTGGGGCAAGCAAGACAAAG